CTTTTCTCCCACGAGCTTAACTCTATTCACGTCATCATGGTCAACTCTACTTTGAGGAGACATCTTTTCCCCAGTCACATTTTGAGTGCCTTCCAACCTGAAGGGCTCATTTCCCGGCCCTGTATCTGACTGTGTTTCTCTGCTGTTCATAAGGTTTTCAGTGACTAAAGATTCGGAATTAGCTCGTCACACTTTCTTCCTAGTCTGTGTTTGTCTGGAAGCTCATCTGAAACATGTCCACCATGGCTGACCCTACTGGCTATTTAAAATATTGGTGGTATAGCCCTCAGAATCACAGCAACTCACAAGCCACCACAGCATGAGGCAAAGAGACAGGGGACAGTGTTGTTTATAACCTGTAAGGTGCACATGTTCTTCTTACAGTCATATTGAAACAAGATTGATTTTATAGATTTGGTATGTTGGTAACTGTGAAGAGAGAGGACTGTTTTAACATCAGAGAGTTTTGAAAAATGAGATTTGAGTAGAAACTTGCATGAAGTGAGGGAATGCAAACTCTAGGATAATCCAGGAAATCAGCAGATAAAAAGTGTAGAGGTACTAATGTTAGAAAGAGCTTGGTATTTCTGGTACAGCCCAGAACACCATTATAGCTTGATTTGAGTGTGCAAGGCACTTGTATAAATGGTCTGACTTGGGCAAGAAGGACAAATCATAGGTTTTCTTCTTTGTCTGCTATCCTTTAAACTTTGTAGACAGTGGGACTTAATATAAAAGTAAGTAAAAGTATTCTAGCTGAAAATGAAGCTTATTCATTAACAAACTAAATATATAATGATGTTTTTATAAATAAACTTTATATCTTACGTTTTGTTGTTGTTAGGTGACATCAAGTCAGTTCCAACTCAGAGACCAAATGCACAACAGAACAAACATTTCCCGGTCCTGTGCCTTTATCACAGCTGTTGTTCAACCTTTGAGCCCATTGCTTTTGTCACTATGTCAATTCGTCTCATAAGGGGTCTTCCTATTTTTCAATCACCCTCTACTTTTCCAAATATAATGCCCTTCGCTTTGTAGTATGTCCATATATAAGAGATGAAGTCTTGCCAACCTAGCTTCTAAGGAGCATTCTCATTGTCTTTCTTCCGATACAGATTTGTTTGTTATTCTGATAGTCCATGGTGCTGTCAGTATTCTTTCCCAAAATAGTTCAGTAATTCACATGCATAAATGTTTCTACTGTCACATGCATATATGGTGATTGCAAATACCCTGGCTTCAGTAAGGCACACTTTGAACCTCAAGAAATTTGCCTGATGAAATATGTTGTTTGATTTCTTGACTGCTGCTTCTATGCGTGTTGATTGTGGATCCAAGCACAATGAAATGTTGAACAGTGTCAGTTTTTTCTCATGCTGTTATTTATTGATCCAGTTATGAGGATTTTTGTCTTCTTTGCATTGAGGTGCAGTCCATACTGAAGGCTATAATTTTTGATCTTCATCAGTATTTGTTATAAGTCCTCTTCACTTCCAGCAATCAAAGTTGTATTATCTGCATATCTCAGGTTGTTAATGAGTCTTGCTCCAATCCTGATGGCATGCTCTTCATTTAACCCAACTTCTTGGATTATTTGCTTAGAAAACAGATTGAATTAAGTATGGTGAAAGGATACAACACTGGCTCACACCTTTCCTGATTTTAAACTATTCATTATCCTCTTTAAGTCCTGGTGTGGCTCTATAGAATAAGCACTCTACCATAAGTTTGGTTTCAACTGCTCCTCAGAAATCCTGCATAGGGTCACTATGAGTCACGACCAACTGGATAGTACTTAACAACAACAGTATTCCTTTATTCTGTTCTAGCAACTGCCTCTTGGTCTGTGTACAGTTACTTCTTGACACAGTTAAGAGATCTGGAATACCCATCTTCACAATGTTATCCATAGTTTATTGAAAGCTTTTGTATAGTCAATAAAGCACAAGTAAACACCTTTCTGGTATTGTCTGCTCTCAGCCAAGATCTATCTGTTGTCACCAAGTTCCACATCCTCTTCTAAATCCAGCTTGACTTTCTGGCAGTTCCTGTTGATATACTGTGGTAATTGTTTTAAAATTATCTTAGGAAAATTTTATTTGCATATTATAGTAATGATACTGTTTAATTTCCACATTGTGTTGGCTTACCTCGCTTTGGAATGGGCACAAATATGGATCTCTTCCAATCGGTTGACCAGGTAACTGTCTTCCAAATTTCTTGGCAAAGATTAATGAGTACCTCTAGTACTGCCTTAGTTTGTTGAAAGATTTTGATTTTTAGTCTGTCAATTCCTGGAGCCTTGTTTTTCACCAGTACCTTCAATGCAGCTTGGACTGCTTCCTTCAGTACCACTAGTTCATAAACCATTTCTTTTTGATTGTTTGATGCTTTCTGCATCATTCAGTATTTTGCCCATGGAGTCCTTCAATATGCAAGTAGAGACTTGAGTTTTACCTTCAATTCTTTCAGCTTGAGAAATGCTGAATGTGTTCTTCCCTTGTGGTTTTCTAACTTCAGGTCTTCGCACATTTCATTATAATACTTGACTTTATCTTGAGCTATCCTTTGAAATTTTCTGTTTAGCTCTTTCACTTCCTCATTTCTTCCGTTCACTTTAGCTTTTCTTTGCTGGAGAAAAGATCACAGCCTTCGGTATGGATTACATCTCAGTGTAAAGAAAACAAAAATCCTCACC